TATTGCTGGCCCTTTGGCGTTTCGGGGATTATGGGCCTGTGCTTAACAACCGTGATTTATATTTGAAAAGGAGATTCCAGCGGTGGTCATCCCGGTAGCTGAGTCAGTAAGCGACACCGGTAGTCACATGCTCGGCCTATCGGCAGGTATTTTGGTAAAGTCGTCAGCTCGGTTGTTAAATATCACATTTTGAGTAGGAAGTTTATTGTGAACCTGAAAATCTGGCCCAGTGGGTGTGTCACTTCCAGCGTTAAGTGGTCCGATTCTCACATCAATTACACGCGTGACAACCACTAAGCCTCAGGTGGGGTGTCAGAGTTGCAAGAGGCAAAATACCACGGCGTAATATCATTGCACTGTACTGGTGACTGACACAGCGCTTCGCCTGATTTATATCGGCTTGCAGTGTCAGGTTCGTCAACAAAAATTACCCGCAAAATTGGGACTTACGGAGAATATTATGTCATCAGCGCTCATCACTCTCCATGAACTCCGGACGGCAACTTTTGAAGAATGAAGTTAGAAAGCAGGATTCCAACATGTTTTTTGTCCACTTGTCACATCTTGAGATCGTCGTGAGAGAGCTGGCGATGGCTTAAGGGAGGCTCTCGTTCAGCAATGGATCGATCGCAGTTGTTGTTGATGATGATGATGGTGATTTTACGGACCAAAATATAAATCGAAAATATACCACTTTAGATTTACAAAAGCTGATCGTCATGCTGTTAAGATTCTTCAAAAGACTACAGATGCAAACTTTCGTAGATATGTGAAAAATAAAAAGCCAGAGGATTCAAAATGTATGCCACCTACTTAATGGTGGCGTGAGAGAAGCAAAAAGGACAATTATGGAATTCGGATTTGAAAATGTGACGCTCCATTTTGATTCGGCGTCCTTTCAACCCCCCCCCCCCCCCCCCCAGTCATCTTAAACCAGGGGTGTCCAAACTTTTTGCAAAGAGGGCCACATTTTATAAAGTGAAGATGCCCGGGGGCCAATAGTTCCTTTTGACATTGTTTTAACCACAAAAGTTACGTGGAAATACACACTGTTATGAAACAATTTTCATTGTCACAATTACCTTCATTTTTCAAATGACAATGCAACCAAATATACGCCACTCAGGCAGACGGGAACAACTCTAAAAACGCAATTCTGCCTTTCATTCAGTCAGATAACATTGAACAAACTGTATAGAATACCTTAAATTTCCATGAGTTTTATGATGTATTTATTCTGACAGAGCTGGCGAGCCATAACTAACACGTTATAAGACCGAAGCTGCGGGCCGTATGAAATCTGCCCGCGGGCCGTGATTGGCCCGCGGGCCGGACTTTGAACATGCCTGACTTAAACGAACGTTCCAAGACTTGGGTCTAAGAGCTACAACATCCAAGCACACTGCCCCGCAATTCCGGAGTGCCCAACATGAAGAGTTGCCGATTATTATCATTATTATCATTGACTCGACGACTACATTTCGTGCCAAATTTTAGTTCAGCAGCCCTTCGAGAACTCATCATACATTAACATCAGCCACTCACTCAAAACTGGTTTTATATTTGTATTGCAATTTATAGCACAAATGCCAATTGAGGCGGAGTCGATCTCCCCATTCACAGCCAAGGGCCAAGGGTGGACATTCCGCATACCTGTTACGCGGGGGGCGGGGGGTGTGCGAGTCTATCATTGGTACTCGTTTTATCGACCCGACGAATGATGGGCTGAATCAATCCCCGACCAGGGTTTGAACCCTGCGCCCTTCCGATCGCGAGGTGATCGTGCTTAGCGAAGATCGGCGAGCGCCTATTAAGGCCAGGAACGCTGAACGGAGAGGTAGAGTGGATAGCAACGGCCTTTGTCTTTAATTCTCGATTTGAAGCTTTCGTGACTGCAAGGATTCATACTCTTAGTTCTTTCGGTAAAGTCACGTAGGTAAAAAATGAAATTAAATGACTTAAAATAAAATAAAAAAAATGATTTTTATTTTATTTTAATTTTGATTACTTAAAATAAAATAAAAAATGAATTTATTTTAATTTTGATTAATTTAATAATTTTTTAAAAAATATAAATAAAAAAAAAAAGAATTTTATTTTATTTTGATCAATTTTTATTTCATTTTTTACCTACGTGACTTTACCGAAAGAACTAAGAGTATGAGGCCTTTTGTCTTCCCAGTTGCAGATGTTCACATAAACACACACACACACACGCGCTATGTTTTAGCTTAATGGTGAGAGAATCTCGTGAAGGGCCCAGGACAGGTTTAGATACCACTTGCCACTGGCCATAGCCATGGGCAGGAATCAAACCTCGGTGATAATCGCAGTGCGGTGTGCAACCACTGGTACTGATGCGCCCGACGCAACACACAATTGTAATAATTAGAATTTCATATGAAGGCATTGTAGATGTTCTCAGCAAGAGGAGGGTGTTGCATATGCCGCGCGAGAGGCTTAGGCACGGCGTTAGGGGCCGTCCATAAATGACGTCACGCGATTTTGGACGATTTTGACCCCCCCCCCTTCGTCACACGGCGTCACAAAAAGTCAGACCCCCCCCTCAAATATGACGTCACAAAGCTCTGCCCCCCCCTCCAACAAAAAATAAAACATGCTTCAAATCGCTTTCAACTATTGTCATTGTAGTGCGTATTTAATGTGGCGCTGCACTCTGATGTTGTAGGAGAAAACATTTATTAAAAAGTCTGTTAATTAAGTAGAACGTGTTGTCTAAATTTATTTAAAGCTGCGCATTTTGATGTGACGTCACATTTCTCAAACCCCCCATCCCCCTCGTCACACATCGTCACAAATGTCTGACCCCTCCCCCCCCCTAGGCGCGTGACGTCATTTATGGACGGCCCCTTACGCAGCTCGTGAACTAGACAATGCCACGCGCGACTGTTCTGGAATGAGACCTCTGCCGCCAAACCGGAGTTGGGAATCCATGCACCCTCCCCGCAACAATTACTCATGGACCATGATGGCGTTGCAGCGTTCCATGACGCAGAGCATCCAGGCGAGCCGTTTTGTTTTTGGTCGGGCTGATTGTGAGCTCCCCCCCCCCCACCACCCCCACCGCCCGCCCTTCGACAAGCTCCAAGTTTGCCAGCAGAGTCGCCAACTGCTTCTCAAGAGTGAGCGTTCAGGATTGACCTGCAGGTCGTCAGTTTCACGCGAGACGGTTGACCGAGGAAGGGAGCCATCCTCATAAACCGCACCCAGGTAACACAGTCCTCCTGCGGAGGGAGCTGGTAGGAACGTTGGGTTGCTCGGTCAATGGCCTGCAGGGTCAACGGCGGCGTGGTGTATTCCGCAAATATGCCCGGCTGTGAGGGCGGGCACAAGCCGGCGTGAGTAGGTTAAACGTTGAGTTTTATAAGGGCACCACGGGGTGACCAGCCCCTCCCCACCCAGCCCCACCCCTCGCACCCCCCACCCTCCCCACCCAGCCCCTCCCCAACCACCCCCATCCTCCCCTCCCACCCAGTCCCACCCTCCCCACCCAGCCCCTCCCCACCTCCCCTCTTTTTTTTTTTTTACGATCAGTAGAAACAAGAAGATGCTCGGTGTATTCGGCACTTTGTTTCGTTCATCATTTCGTAATTTTTTTTTTTTTTAATTTTTTAAAACGGGGCTTTATGTAGCCCTCGCTCGCTCGCTCGCTCTCTCGCTCGCTCTCTCGCTCACTCTCCCGCTTGCTCGCTCTCTCGCTCTCTCTCACTCGCTCTCTCTCTCGCTCATTCTCTCGCTCACTCTCTCGTTATTCACGCCGCCCCCCTCGCAGTCCTATGGCCTCCGACGGGTAGCTCATAACAGCATGCAGAGCTCCCCATCATCTGCCACGGAGCACACGGCCTCCTCCATCGCCCACTGCTCCTTGAAGGCCGGCACGGCGTGGGTCAGCCGCGCATGGCGGAACTCCAGCCACACCCTGGCTCCGACCAGAGCGCGGAAGATGCCCAGGCTGCTGGCCGGACGTTTCCCCTCCAGGGCCACCTTCCTCGCCCTGTAAATGGCGAGCTTGGCGTAGCCGACAAGCACGTTGACCAGCCCCTGAAGATGTTGGGATCCGTCGCCACCTCCCCTCCCCACCCAGCCCCTCCCTCCTTACCCAGCCCCTCCCTGCACGACGGACGGACACAATAATCATCTGTGGGCTGGTGGAAACAATGGGTTCCTACCAGTATAATGGACCGCCTCCCATTGTGTATGTTGTTACCAGATGGAAATTCCTCCGTTACAACCGTGGCCGCCTTTCTAAGCTGTTGCGTCGTTGTTTGGGGGGTCAGGGGACATTCCTGCCACACCCCCCCAAGGTCAACAGGGGTTGAACGATTCTTGACTACTGGCTGTTCGAGCTGGACCCTAGCCTGCCCATCAGAAGTTGATTTCAGCCGGAGCTGCCCGAGACTGAGTTCCAGAAAATATTTTTTTTTTTACCACAACAAGTCAATACAACGCTGTGTGTGTGTGCCCTCAAAGGAAAACAATGTGTAATCGGCGTCGTTTTGGGCAAATGTGCTATGAAGAAGTGTCATTGCCCGAAACGTCGTGTGTTGTTTTTCTCCATCCCCCTTCTAAGGCGATACACACGCAATGTTGTTCTTGGCTAATTGTGCTGAGTCGGTACGTTGTCTCAGTGGCCCGGGATACTATGTGTACATTCTGTGTTTACTGTGCGTCATCTACTCGCACACAGTCAGTGCTCGTTCACGTCGAGACGTTACCACGCGAGTCTCTTTTCGCGATTATGCAAGACGTCTGGCTTCCTTCTACACAGCCCTGCCCTTCTACACAGCCCTGCCCTTCTACACAGCCCTGCCTTGCTACACAGCCCTACCCTGCCCTTCTACGCAGCCCTGCCCTGCTACAGACCCCCTGTCCTGCCCTGCTTTGCCCTACCCTGCTCCGGCGAGCCCTGCCCCTTCCCTTGGTGGGTGGAGGCGATGACGGAGACTGCGAGAATGAGAAACCACACCCGGTGAGACCCCCACACCTCCACCACCAGCTGCGTTGGTGACGGTGGCAGCGGTGCTGGTGGTAGAGATGATGGTGGTGGTGGTGGGGATTACGATGATGACGACGACGACGATGAGAGTGATGATGGTGACCGGGACGTGCCTGTGAGCAAGGCTTCGAGGAGAGGAGCAGTTGGACGCTTAGGAGTGAAGCACTTACTCCGGCGGTACATATACTAACATTGGAACGATACAGAGAAGCACTTGAGTGGTTTCAGTTCAGCCAGAGAGGATCGAGTCCAGGTGAGGGTGTGAGATACGTGAATCCGGGCTGTGTGTGTCGGTGTGTGTGTGAGTGTGTGTATACACAGTGCTTATGTTTCGATTTAAAGCTTTCGTGACTGCAGGGATTCATCTTCTTGGTTTTTTCGGTAAAGTCACGTAGAAGGGAAGTAATACAATAATTATATTATTATATTATATATTATTTTATTATGCTTTATTTTTATTATTTTATTACTTCCCTTCTACGTGACTTTACCGAAAGAACCAAGAATACAGTGCTTATGTTTGTGTCTGGTGTAGTGTGTTTAGTGTGTGTGATGCCTACATTTGTGTCTGCGGGGAGCGGTGGCGCAGTGGTTAGCGCGCTGCGCTACGAACCCGGCGACACGAGTTCGATTCCCGCTCACGGCCACCCATCCCGGTGTCAATTATCTGAACCTGTCCTGGGCTTCTCCTAGGTCGACTCAGCCTCAAATGAGTACCTGGCGCGGCGTGTAAACATCGCCACGGGGGAGCCAAAGGCGGCCGGGCGTGGTGTTGGCCACCCACCCCCTCGTGTTCCTGTGCCGGCCTTCATAGCTGCTGCTCGCTAACAGCACTTGCCCCTACAGTCTGTTAAGGCTACACGGGGGGGGGGATCTTTATATTTGTATGGTACGTGTGTACACGGTTACAAAGTAGTTGGTTACAAAGTAGTCGTGTCAAGTGTACGCAGTTTCACGCGTGTGCGTATACAGTCTTACATAGTGCACACTGCATACGTTCAACAAATGTACACGTGTGTGTGTAAAAAGTATTCCGTGTGTACTCAGCATTTTGAAGGCCCTTTAAGCAGAGGCTTTTTACCCTCGCTGGCAAATAAAAACAGGCGTTCAAAGGCGCTAAAACACCAAACGGAAACCATTGGCATGGAATCCTTGTCCGCATTACCCACGCGGTTGTTTTGTTCGCATGTCCATCACGATCCCATGCGAGACGTTTCTGTTTGGCGTTTAGCAAATCTTGACGGCCGTTTCATTTGCCTAGAAGAAGGGGGTCAACCCCCCCCTCCTCTTAGATTTTGAAACCGGCAAGGGAGGTCCCCGTCTTTTTGTGAGGACGATTTGCAGGCGAGTTGTGTGACAAGGTGCAGTCCTCGTGTGTGTGTGATGTGTGATGTAGAAACGGTGTGCGTGGAGTAGAGACACGTGCGTTCGTGTGATGTGGCACGCGTGTTGCATTGTCAAGGCAGTGCACACGTGTGCGTACTTCACAGAGTACGTGTGCCACGTATAAAGTCAATGAAGCTATAATACACGTGCACTGTTGATTGTGCGTGCATTGTAGTACGTCCGTATGACAGGTACACACTGGTATATCCTGCAGAATATGCTCAATATACACCGTAGTAGCTACACAAAGTACACGTTACATAATTGTGTATGTGCTCTCGTAGTCTAGAGTATATATATATACACGATGCATATATATTTCTTGAGTGCTGTCACTTCCTTACCCAACTGGACGCCTGTGAAAATGAGCTTTAATGCTCATCGGATTCCTGCAGTCAGAGTAAATATTCTCACATACAGTACTCAACATGGACGCAATACGTATCGTTAATATATGTATATATGTGTACGCAATTGTGTAAGCGTGCACTGTAGTATAAAAGTGTACACAATGTACACATTGTATAAAGAGTGCCCATACAGGTGTGTCGTGTATTATAATGAACGTCTTCTTGGTTCATTCGGTAAAGTCACGTAGAAGGGAAATAATAAAATAAGAAAAATAAAACATAACAATATAATTGTATTGCTTATTTTATTATGTTTTATTTTTATTATTTTATAACTTCCCTTCTACGTGACTTTACCGAAAGAACCAAGAAGATGAATCCCTGCAGTCACGAAAGCTTTAAATCGAAAAATAATGAACGTGTGTATCTGTGGGTCATCTCAATGAATCCGTGGCACCTGGGTCTCTCCCTTGACCTCCTGCCTCAAGGTGCACCTAGCCTGGCACCAGCGCCGCGGTGACGTCATGTCGGTCGCCTGCGACTAAGTCGCCCGTAAGATCTCACAAGCTAAGCAGGCGTTTGAGCCTGGGTAGTCGTGCTTGGACCACCGTGCATTCACCAGTGTGGTGAAGTATGGTTGAATAACCTCCCAACCCCCCTACACCCGCAAAGGCATGGTAAATAAATCATCCAGCAGTGGAATGTCTGCGTGTATGTCCATGCGTATATGGGGAGCGGTGGTGTAGTGGTTAGCGCGCTGCGCTACGAACCCGGCGACCCGAGTTCGATTCCCGCTCACGGCCACCTCCACCGGTGACGTTTATCTAAACCGGTCCTGAGCCTCCACCTAGGTCGACTCAGCCTCAAATGAGTACGTGGTGCGCTGTGTAGTAAACATTACCACTGGGGAGACAAAGGCGGCCGGGCGGTGGTGATGGCCACCTATCCCCTCGTGTGCGCCGTTCCGGCCTTCATAGGTGCTCGCTAACAGCACTTGCCCCTACAGCCTGTTACAGGCTACACGAGGGATCCTTGTCTTTGTTTGATATTTGTCCATGCGTATCCTGTATATCAGTTATATTTATTGATATTCTTTACGTGTTGACTCACAGGCTGTGGTGCTGTGCAAATGAACGACTTGTGTGCTCGGTCTTGCCCAATTGCTCACGCTGGCACACTGCACGCACACGGGTCAAAATGTCATCATGGACACCGCCAGAGATGCCATCACCACCAACCAACCACATCTTCGCCATCCCACAGCTCTCTCACAGTTGACAGGTCCTTCATGGACCTCTCCTACCCAACTCATCACGGTGGCTAAGAGATGGCAACTCCCTCGCCTGGTATACAGGATGGTCGTGGGTTCGACCCCGACATTGACGCCTGCTGCTGTATGTTTGGAGTTTGTGTGTCTCTCTCTCTCATCATTATCACGGTGGCTAGGAGATGTTAACTCCCTCGCCTGGTATACAGGAGGTCATGGGTTCGACCCCGACCTTGACGCCTGCTGCTGTATATTTGGAGTTTGTGTGTGTGTCTCTCTCTCTCCGTGTTCGTGTGGATTTTTCTCCGGGACCTCTGGTTTTCCCCCTCCACGTTCAGAATGAACATGACGCGTTTCGAGTGTTTGTTCTCCTGGTATACATTTCCACATGATGATGAGCCAACTTCATCGGGCTATTATATGTGATAGCCAGCTCAGTGAGCTTTACCTGCTAAAATACAGGGTTTTGTTTTCAACCATCAAAGACAAAAGATCCCCCGTGGAGCCTTAACAGACTGTTGGGGCAAGTGCTGTTAGCGAGCACCTACGAAGGCCGGCACGGTACACGAGGTGGGTGGGTGGCCAACACCACGCCCAGCCGCCTTTGTCTTCCCAGTGGTGACATTTGCAACACCGCACCACGTACTCGTTTGAGGCTGAGTCGACCTAGGCGACCGATTCAAATAATTCGTCGACTGGTGTTGACCCTCAGCGGAGAATCAAACTCGGGTGGCCGGGGTTCGTTGTGCACCCACTCACCACCGCCACCACCAAATTTCTACTGTGCACTATATTATACTTATATATCTTCTTGGTTCTTTCGGTAAAGTCACGTAGAATGGAAATAATAAAATAATAAATATAAAACATATGTTTTATTTCCATTCTACGTGACTTTACCGAAAGAACCAAGAAGATGAATCCCTGCAGTCACGAAAGCTTTAAATCGAAATATACTTATATACTTAATATATATGATCCTCAATACCTGCGATTGAAGTTGTGCAGGGGTTTGTCCGCTTGTTATTGGCTTTATCGTTACACTCGGCGTGAGTCAACTTTGTTTCGTACTTGGGTCACCGGCTATGATGCACTCATGGCTGTCAACCCACACGGTTTACCACGTAGTCTTGTACAGGCTATAAATTAAATAGAAACACAAATCTAGCATTACGTTCTCAGGAAGAACGTAATCAACCAGATAGGGTGTTGACTGTTATGTTATCCGACTCTCTGTTGTATTACATTACATTTCTAAGTATACTAGATTTGTGTTTCTATTTAATTTATACCTGATGATGATTGCTTGTGTTGCAATCGAAACGTCGTATGCTAGTATTTAATTTAATTTATTATTTTATCTTTATACGTGACTTTACCGAAAGAACCAAAGAATAATTCCTGCAGTCACGAAAGCTCCAAATTAAGTTTGTACAGGCTAATTGAGTTTTTAGGTTCATACGACGTGCAGCCGCTATCAACACGGGCACAAATGTTTGTGTCTATTTGTTTGTGTTTCTCCCTTGCGATGGGACTTTGTAGGATGAACGTTGAGGTTTATAAGGGGGCACGGGGTGACCAATACGGTGTGAATTGCTCTTTGGTTCCTCTTCTTGGTTCTTTCGGTAAAGTCACGTAGAATGGAAATAATAAAAGAATAAAAATAAAACATAATAAAAATACAATTTTCACGACGGCTGCTTGCGTTGTGGCCGAAACGTTGTGAGAATTATTTTATTATGTTTTATTTTAATTATTTTATTATTGCCATTCTACGTGACTTTACCGAAAGAACCAAGAAGATGAATCCCTGCAGTCACGAAAGCTTTACATCGAAATGCTCTTTCGTTCTTTCGGTAAAGTCACGTATAAAGAGAAAATAATAATTTAAAAACTAGCATACGACGTTTCGATTGCAACACAAGCAATCATCATCAAGTATAAATGAAATAGAAACATGAAATAGAAACACAAATCTAGTATACTTAGAAATGTAATGTAATACAACTGTAATGTAATAGAACAGAGAGTCGGATAACACTGTTGTATTACATTACATTTCTACGTATACTAGATTTGTGTTTCTATTTCATTTATACCTGATGATGATTGCTTGTGTTGCAATCGAAACGTCGTATGCTAGCATTTAATGTATTATTTTCTCTTTATACGTGACTTTACCGAAAGAACCAAAGAGTAATCCCTGCAGTCACGAAAGCTCCAAAGAAAGTATAGGTCTGAATTGGTCTGTAACAAGGTAGGGACACTGACTGTTTGGGCCGTGTCGAAAGGAGTCCCGTTGCCCGAAACGTCACCCGTTGTTGTGCATATTGTTTGCTTAAATCCCTTTTGAAGGCCACACACAGCGTGCCTGGCGAATATCGTCGAGTCTTTTGATCACGATGTGGGAGGGGGGGGGGACCTTCAATGAATCGATCAATATCGGCCCGCTTGTCCCCAACTGAATTGGGTCACGGAAGGCAGTGGACCTCCACCAAGTCCCCAAGTCCCCTCCCATCGTGCCCCCTGTGCCCTCCACCAGCGGGCATCGACCTCGGATCACGGATCACGGCTCTCTCCTAGTACCAGCCCCCCCCCCCCACGTCTTTCCAGCGCAATCTTGGGCTGAGGACGTCCTTAGAACCTCTCCCCGGGGGGCAGTGCCGGACTAAGCTGGTGCGGGGCCTGTAGCGTTGCGTTATAAAGGGGCCCTAGATGAAAAAAAAACACGTAAATATTAAGACACAATTTGTTAAATTTGCACAGTAAAGTAATTGTATTTTTTTCTATTTGCTACACAGCCAGATAATACGACAAATCGCTCACCTTAAACACCCGGTCCCTCGTAAAAGTCGAAGGTGGTATAGTACTATAGTTATAGAGCGAGTGCAGAATCACTGAACCGGAATTGATGGCTTGGAAGCCCTTGAAAGCGCGGGGCCAGTAGCACACGCAGCTACTCATGCTGCTCGGATAACACTGGTCAACACACGTTTTCTGGCATAAGGTATTCCAACGGGTTTAATGTAATTTTGGGGTGCTGATTCCAAATCTGGCATCCGTTTTTGTCTCACGTCAGGTTTTTGAGATATAAAATATTGCATTTTCAATAAAAACTGCAGAAGAAAAATATTAAATAAATTTGGATATCTATATAAAATGATATTATAAACACACTATCCTAAAATACAGCACCATATATTAACACTAAAGCAGTCACTGACTCGCAACAACTTGCAATCATAAGTGACAGAGTTAATTTCTGGTAAAATCAATGAAAATGGGGTATGCCGATAGCATAAAAATGAGGTGTGCTAGAGCAAATCTGAGATCAGATTTGGAATCAGCACCCTGAAATTAGTCTAGAAGAGCTGCAAAAGTCCAGGCCAGAAAAAAATATTGTTGTTGACCAGTGTTATCAGAGCATTTCGGTAAAGTCACGTAGAAAGAGAAAATAGCAAATTAAATAATAGCATACGACGTTTTATTGCAACACAAGCAATCATCGTCAGGTACAAATGAAAGCGAAAACAACAACCTAGTAAACTTAGAAATATAATGCAATACAACACAGAGAGTGGCTAACATAACAGTCAACACCCTACCTGGTTGATTACGCTCTTCCAAAAATTGCTAGATTTAAGAGAGAGATCAAACACGGAACAGGAGGCACATAGTCAGACACGTAAGCAGAGAGATAAAACAGAGACACACACAGAGAGAGACCGAAAGAACCAAAGAGTAATTCCTGCAGTCACGAAAGCAGTCCGTTTGTCGGCATCCACAGCAGACGAGCCCCATCCACCGCAGCAGCAGCAGCTACAGCAGCAGCAGCAGCTACAGCAGCAGCAGCAGCTACAGCAGCAGCAGCAGCTACAGCAGCAGCAGCAGCTACAGCAGCAGCAGCAGCTACAGCAGCAGCAGCAGCTACAGCAGCAGCAGCAGCAGCTACAGCAGCAGCAGCAGCTACAGCAGCAGCAGCAGCTACAGCAGCAGCAGCAGCTACAGCAGCAGCTACAGCAGCAGCAGCTGACTTCGCCCCACGCTCGCAAGTGCCGCCTGGACGTTGAGTCTCTTGGCAGAGGCGCCCTCCTCACACGAGAGAGAAAGCGAGCTCTGTAGCCACCTTTGTTCTATTTCATCGTCTGGCGTTTCGTGCGAGACCTGTATGTGCAGCATGTTGAACCTCTTTCGCACCGTACGCAGCCAACCGTCCTAATCGGAGGCTTGTGAAGCGACGTATAAACTTTCGGCCGACCTCCCCTACCACCCCACCACCCCACCCCCCCTCTTTGCTGAAGCGATAAAAAAATGAGAATTTAACAATCGTATTTGCTAGATAATTGTTTTTTACCCTTTTATCTGGCAACAAAACTGACACCTTTTTCTTTTTACAAGGAGTCATATTTGCATTGACCGCAATACCTGCGGTCGAAATGCAAACAAAAAACACAACTCTGGTAATGTATGCACTGTCCTTGAAATTGATTGGTCCACACCCGAGACAGCTTTCCTTAGAGCCTAGTCTCACATGGTGTTGGACCAGATGACGCCAAACGGCGCACAACTCAAAGACAATGCACCATCAGAGTATGAGAGCTCGGGGTAAGCATTTACACCATTGGAACCTTCTATGCCAGTAGCAAAATATGATCATTGTTTTTACCCTTTTATTTGGCAACAAAACTGACGCCTTTTTTTACAAGGATTCAATGTTTGCATTGACTACAATACCTGCGGTCGGAATGCAAACAAAAAAAACACAACTCTGATAATGATGTCCTTGAAATTGATTGGTCCACACCCGAGACAGCTTTTCTTCGAGCCCAGTCTCACGTGGTGTTGGACCAGTTGACGCCACATGGCGCACAACTCAAAGACAATGCACCATCAGAGTATTCGTATTTCTCTCGAATGTTCAGTTCTTACAAAGCTTAGCCCGTAATGCGCGTTGTACTTCGTGCCAAAAGTCACGTTCAAGTCGAGCTTCCGCCTGGAATGTTCCGCATCACCCACCGCTCGAGTTGCCACGGCATGTTGCACAAGTCGAGGCGAGCTCTGGCTACAGGTGCTAATTGCAGCCAATTAGGAGGAGAGACGCAGAGAGATTAATAATGCTGGGAGGGAATTCACCTCGTCTCGCGCTGTCTCCTCACCCCCGTCCCCTCACCTCTCACTCACCTCTCACCTACTCACCCCTCACCCTCTCTCACTCACCCCCTCACTCACCTGATCTACTCACCCCTCACCTCGTCTCACCCCGTCCCCTCACCTCTCACTCACCCTCTCACTCACCCTCTCACTCACCCTCTCACTCACCCTCTCTCATCCCTCACCTCGTCTCAGGCTGTCTCACTCACCCTCTCTCACCCTCACCTTCTCACCCCGTCTCCTCACCTCTCACTCACCCTCCCTCTCACCCTCTCTCACCTTCTCTCACCCCTCACCTACTCACCCCTCACCTCTCACTCACCCCCTCACTCACCTCATCTACTCACCCCTCACCTACTCACCCCTCACCTCTCACTCACCCCCTCACTCACCTCACCTACTCACCCCTCACCTCGTCTCACGCTGCCTCACCTCCGTCTCCTCACCTCTCACTCACCCTCTCTCACCCTCACCTGCTCAACCCTCACCTCTCACTCACCCTGTCTCCTCACCCTCTCTCACCCTCTCTCTCACCCCTCACCTCATCTCACGCTGTCTCACCCCGTCTCCTCACCTCTCACTCACCCTCATCTACTCACCCCTCACCTCGTCCCCTCACCTCTGACTCACCCTCTCTCACTCACCCCTCACCTACTCACCCCTCACCTCGTCTCACGCTGTCTCACCTCACCTCCTCACCCCTCACCCAAACCTCTCACACCTCACCTTGTCTCTACCCTCAGACAATCTCTCACCCTGTCTGCTCACTCTTGCCTCTTGCCTGAATGTATTTTCTCGGCTAAATCACTCCTCACCCATCTCTGTGCTCACGACATAATCTCTCCTCATCACTCCTCACCAGTCTCCCTCAACCCTGCGTCTCTCTTCACGACCTCGCTCCTCACCCTTCATCCGATTTCACTCCTCACTCACCCGATCTCATCCCTCACCTCATCCCTCACCTCATGCCTCACTCCATCACATCCCTCACGCCAACTCATTCCACACACAGGAGAGGGGAAGAGCAAGGAGTAAGTGGGTCAGGAGGAAGACGAATACAAAAAGGGAGTTGTAGACGGAACAGCAGGGACAGCGGCGACGTAAGGGGAAACGGTGGCGACGTAACGAAGCGACGGTCAACTCAATAAATAATATTAAACAAATCTTTTTCAAACACGCTGTTATTTTGAAATGTTCTCGTAATGGAAGAACTCCACGACTCCAGGAAGTGGCCCCGAAGCTTGCCACAACGTAAGGGACCGTGGCCAATTACAGCCAACGTGAGTTTACCGTGGATAATTAGACCCAAGCCGAAACATAACATATAATAAGATCGTTTAAATATATATATATTTTATATTTTATGACAGAATATAGTATTGTCATCAGTATGACATAAGTATACCAAGTTTGCAATCGATACCACATTGGGAAGTGGGTTAAAATTGAGTTACAAGATTTGAGGATACAACAACGACAACAGAGTGAGTTCATAGAAAGCATGTAAAAAGATTGTTTAAAAATAATTTATTTTTATTTTTATGATAGAACATAGTATTATCATCAGTATGACATAAGTATGCGAAGTTTGCAGTCGATACCACATTGGGAAGTGGTTTAAAATTGAGTTAGAAGATTTGAGGATACAACAACGAAAATAGACAGAGTGAGTTAATAGAAAGCGTGTAAAAACATTGTTTAAAAATATTTATTTTTTATTTTTTATGATAGAATATAGTATTGTCATCAGTATGACATAAGTATACGAAGTTTGCAGTCGATACCACATTGGGAAATGGGTTAAAATTGAGTCACAACATTTGAGGATACAACAACGACAACGTGAGTTAAATGAAAGCGCGCAATACAAAACTGCGCGTTTCTCTCGGCCGTGTGAGACAACAGAAGCCGACGGTCCGCTCGAGAGGACCGCGTGGTGGGCCCCCGTGATTGCCGGCCACCACGATGGCGTGGCCCAGCCCTGGAGGCCCCATGGAGACCTTCTCGCCGATGTCGCCGCTCTGCTCGGCTCTCGACGTCTGGGAGGACGGTCGCGGCGGCGGCGGCGGCGGCCCCCCGGGGCCCGACCCGCGAGCGCGTGAGAGCCAGCGCCTGGCCATCGACGCCCTGGTGGAGCAGGGCCCCGCGGCCTACCGGGACTTCCTCCGCCACGAGGGCCTGCCGGCCTTCCTCTCCGAGCCCGAGGTGGAGCACATCGTGCTGCACCACCAGCGGCCCGCGCTGCACAGTCACAGCGGCCCCGCCGCGGCCTCCGGCTTGCTGTCCCTCATGGCCGCGCCGCGCAGACACGACGCCAATGGCCTCCACGGCGAGGTGAGTTCAAGGTGACTTTAGGGATTTTTTGGAATTTGATTTATTTTTTGACATTTTTTTTGTGGGGAAAAAAGCGCAATCCCCCCCCCCCCCCCCAGGGTGGAGAAACTCTCTTTTTTATTTTTTATTTTTATTTTTTTTACGATCAGAGGAAACAAGAAGATGCTCGGTGTAGTCGGCACTTTGCTTCGTTCATAATTTAGTTTTTTTAGTCTTTTTTCCAATGCTTTGCTTTACGTGCCCCCCCCCCTTTTTAAAAATGAAAGATTTCACGAAAGATTTCACGCTCTGCTCTCCTCCTTCTTACCCCCCCTCTCTCTCTACCTCCCCTCTCCTCCCCTCCGTCCCCTCCTCTCCCACCTCCTCCATCCCTCCCCTCTCCTTCTTCCCCTCCCTTCCTCACCTCTCTCCCCACATCCCCTCCCTCCCCTCCCTCCCCTCCCTCCCCTCCCTTCCTCACCTCTCTCCCCACATCCCCTCCCTCCCCTCCCTCCCCTCCCTTCCTCACCTCTCTCCCCACATCCCTTCCCTCCCCTCTCCTCCCTCCCCTCCCTCCCCTCCCTTCCTCACCTCTCTCCCCACATCCCCTCCCTCCCCTCCCCCCCATCCCCTCCCACCCCTCCCCTCTGTTTCTCTCTTGAGACTCAAACTCAATCTCCAACGAGAACGTCGTTTATTTGAGTTGTTTTTTTGAGAGAAGAGCGGCACTGGTTTTTTGCACCCTCGTTTGCAATGTTCTAGACAGTGCCATATATTTCATTTTATTTTTACAATTTTTATATATATATAAAAAAAACGTAATTTCCCCCAGGGTTCAGAAACTCTCTTTCTCTCTCTCTCTCTCAAGAGCCGGCTTGAGTCGTTTATTTGAGAGAAGAGCTACACCTTTTTTTGTACCCCCGTTCGCAATGTTCTAGGCGGTGCCATGAGTGTCAATGAAGGTGCGGGAAGTGTGTAAAGTAAAGTGAAAAAAGCGAGCAAGCCCCTCAGCCTTTGAGCATGACCCAACTACTAAAATTAAAACCACCTGTAATTCCTGAAGAACTGCATTGTAGTCCTCTTGTGATCGGGCCGTCATCAAAATACATTTTGAGAGAATGTGACCGGCAGCGGCAGCAGCAGCAGCGGCGATTTAGAGGCGCGACTGCGGATGTTTATATTCTTAGGTTTATTCGGTAAAGTCACGTAGGTAAAAAATTAAAATTAATAAAAGTTAAATGAAAATAAAATAAAAATCACGACGTTTCGGAGGCAACGCAAGCTTCCGTCTTCAGGTGGATTAGCTGTATCAAGTGAGAGAAAAAACCTAAGAATATGAATCCTTGCAAGTCACGAAAGCTTCAAATCTAGATTGCGGATGTTTAGATACCGACGTTTTAGTTTTTCCACTTCACTGTTTTTAATTTTGATAAAACGTTCTCGCCTCAAGGGGGGGGAGGGTGGGGGGGGGGGTAAGGTGGGCGTGGCCACACGAACAGTGGGCGTGGCTATGTACCAGTGGGCGGGGACTTCTGGGGGATGGGAAGGGAGGGGCTATTAGTTCATCCACCCGTGTGTGTGGCCATGCTGAGCCTTCTAGAAACGTCGGGAGCTCGGTCCACTGTGAAAATTCCAGAGGGAGGTGGGGGAGGGGGGCTCACATGCGAGACACGTGGCAGTCCCGTGATTATATCCCGCAGAGGATTCCCTCGTTATTCGCGGCAAGGGATTTGATTCAGAGAGGCTCGTGAAGAATCGAAATTTCGCGGATAAGGGGCCGTCCATAAATGACGTCACGCACCTGGGGGGGGGGTTGATAAATGTGACGTCACATCAAAATGCGCAAGTTTTAGTAAAGATAGACAACACGTTCTACTTAATTAAATAGACTTTTTGATGAATGTTTTCTCCTACAACATCAGAGTGCAGTGCCACGTTAAAGACGCACTACAGGGACAATAGTTTAAAGCGATTTGAAGCATGTTTTATTTGGGGGGGGGGGGCAGAGTTTTGTGACGTCATATTTGATGGGGGGGTCTGACTTTTTGTGACGCCGTGTGACAATGGGTGGGGGGGGGGGGGTAAAAAATCGTCCAAAATCGCGTGACGTCATTTATGGACGGCCCGTAATGGTATCGGCCTACGAAAACCTATCCTTTTTTTTTACCATGAATTACCTTGAATAGATAACGTCAATAAGCTTTCTCTCTCGTCACTTTCTCTCTGATCCCTTTTTCTCGTCACTTTATCTCGTCTCAACGCGGTCGCGGACGGCCAAAACCCGCGGATGGCAAGTTCGCGAATGACGAGAAAAAAAGCCAGAACCCCCTTTTTTCTGCGTCGTTTCGCGAATCCGTCGTCACGTTATGAAGCCTTACGTCGCCCGCAGCGTCGTCCGTCCTCGTTCCCGTTATCCGCCACCTCTCGCCCTTTGCCTTCTATTCCACCCAGCCCGTACAATCGCTTTGAGCCGCGTCGCTTCGATATCCGTCTCCGCACCCCTCTCAGGAACGCCCCCCCCCCCCGCTCGCGCTCCCATCCCACCCCCCACCACGACGTGTGTGTCGCTGCAATCGTCATCTCGACACCCCCTGGGTGAACGCCACGAACGACGCGTCGAGTAACGCTCCGAGCGTCACCTTCTCTCGCCCTCTGCACCCCCCCCCACCCCCACCCCCACCCACCTTCTCTCCACGAGATGGGGCTGGTACTGGCCGGCGGCGGTGGCCGTGGCGAGGAGGAGAACGGCGAGGACGAGGAGGACATGGGCTCGGGGACGTACTGGCCCGTCTTCTCCGACGTGACGGTGCCCGAGCTGGAGCTGGGCTGGCCGAACGTGGCGCGCAGCCTCGGCACCACCGTCTCCTGCTACTTCCAGCCGCCGCTCGAGGAGGGCGAGCCCAGCATCAAGGAGGTGGTGCGCAAGCTCATCCGCGGCGCCACCAAGGTGAGCCGAGGGTCAACCGTGGAGCACGCCCCTCGCTAACACGGATATACTCACGGAAGTGCCTTACTAACACACAAACATACTCACGCACGCGCCTTACTAACACACTAACACACGGACATACTCACGCACGCCCCTCGCTAACACACTAACATACTCACGCACGCGCCTTACTAACACACTAACACACTAACATACTCACGCACGCGCCTCGCTAACACACGAACATACTCACGCACGCGCCTTACTAACACACTAACACACGGACATACTCACGCACGCCCCTCGCTAACACACTAACATACTCACGCACGCGCCTTACTAACACACTAACACACTAACATACTCACGCACGCCCCTCGCTAACACACTAACATACTCACGCACGCGCCTTACTAACACACTAACACATGGACATACTCACGCACGTGCCTCGCTAACACACGGACATACTAACGCACGTGCCTTACTAACACACTAACATACTCACGCACGCCCCTCGCTAACACACTAACATACTCACGCACGCCCCTCGCTAACACACTAACATACTCCCGCACGCGCCTTACTAACACACTAACACACTAACATACTCACGCACGCGCCTCGCTAACACACTAACATACTCACGCACGCCCCTCGCTAACACACTAACATACTCCCGCACGCGCCTTACTAACACACTAACACACTAACATACTCACGCACGCGCCTCGCTAACACACTAACATACTCACGCACGCGCCTTACTAACACACTAACACACTAACATACTCACGCACGCCCCTCGCTAACACACGAACATACTCACGCACGCGCCTTACTAACACACTAACACACGGACATACTCACGCACGCTCCTCGCTAACACACTAACATACTCACGCACGCGCCTTACTAACACACTAACATACTCACGCACGCCCCTCGCTAACACACTAACATACTCCCGCACGCGCCTTACTAACACACTAACACACTAACATACTCACGCACGCGCCTCGCTAACACACTAACACACTAACATACTCACGCACGCCCCTCGCTAACACACGAACATACTCACGCACGCGCCTTACTAACACACTAACACACTAACATACTCACGCACGCCCCTCGCTAACACACGAACATACTCACGCACGCGCCTTACTAACACACTAACACACGGACATACTCACGCACGGCCCTCGCTAACACACTAACATACTCACGCACGTGCCTTACTAACACACTAACACACGGACATACTCACGCACGGCCCTCGCTAACACACTAACATACTCACGCACGCGCCTTACTAACACACTAACATACTCACGCACGCGCCTTACTAATACACTAACATACTCACGCACGCGCCTTACTAACACACTAACATACTCACGCACGCGCCTTACTAATACACTAACACACGGACATACTCACGCACGCTCCTCGCTAACACACTAACATACTCACGCACGCGCCTTACTAACACACTAACATACTCACGCACGCCCCTCGCTAACACACTAACATACTCACGCACGCGCCTTACTAACACACGGACATACTAACACACGCCCCTCGCTAACACACTAACATACTCACGCACGCGCCTTACTAACACACTAACACACGGACATACTCACGCACGCCCCTCGCTAACACACTAACATACTCACGCACGCCCCTCGCTAACACACGAACATACTAACACACGTGCCGTATTAACACACTAACACACGAACATACTCACGCACGCCCCTCGCTAACACACTAACATACTCACGCACGCGCCTTACTAATACACTAACACACGGACATACTCACGCACGCCCCTCGCTAACACACTAACATACTAACACACGTGCCGTATTAACACACTAACACACGAACATACTCACGCACGCCCCTCGCTAACACACTAACATACTCACGCACACGCCTCGCTAACACACGAACATACTAACATACTCACGCACGCCCCTCACTAACACACAACACACTAACATACTCACGCACGCGCCTCGCTAACACACAAACACACTCACGCACGCCCCTCGCTAACACACAACACACTAACATACTCACGCACGCCCCTCGCTAACACAACACACTAACATACTCACGCACGCGCCTCGCTAACACACAACACACTAACATACTCACGCACGCCCCTCGCTAACACACAACACACTAACATACTCACGCACGCCCCTCGCTAACACACAACACACGGACATACTCACGCACGCCCCTCGCTAACACACAAACACACTCACGCACGCCCCTCGCTAACACACAACACACTAACATACTCACGCACGCCCCTCGCTAACACACAACACACTAACATACTCACGCACGCGCCTCACTAACACACTAACATACTCACGCACACCCCTCGCTAACACGAACATACGCACACCCCTCGCTAACACTAACATACTCACGCACGCGCCTCGCTAACACACGAACATACTAACACATGTGCCTTACTAATACACTAACACACAGACATACTCACGCACGCCCCTCGCTAACACAAACATACTCACGCACACCCCTCGCTATCACGAACATGCTAATGCACGTGCCTTACAAACACACACCACACGAACACACCGGTGGAGTGAGGGCGATGTGAGTTGATGGACGTTGTAGATCGTGATGAGTTTTCGGGTTGGTGACGGTGAAGCTTCACCCGCATGGCGTTTTCATGAAGTGTCCATGATTCTATGCCGTGGTTTGTGATGTCCGCGATGACGCTGTCTCTGCGATGACGCAATTCTTGTGATGACGTCTCTGTGATGACGTCTCCGTGATGACGTCACCGTGATGACGTCATTACGTCTCCGTGATGACGTCATGACGTCTCTATGATGTCATCTCCGTGATGACGTCTCCGTGATGACGTCTCCGTGATGACGTCACCGTGATGACATCTCTGTGATGACGTCACCGTGATGACATCTCCGTGATGACGTCTCCGTGATGACGTCTCCGTGATGACGTCTCCGTGATGACGTCACCGTGATGACGTCTCCGTGATGACGTCTCCGTGATGACGTCACCGTGATGACATCTCCGTGATGACGTCTCCGTGATGACGTCTCCGTGATGACGTCTCCGTGATGACGTCTCCGTGATGACGTCACCGTGATGACATCTCTGTGATGACATCTCTGTGATGACGTCACCGTGATGACATCTCCGTGATGACGTCTCCGTGATGACGTCTCCGTGATGACGTCACCGTGATGACATCTCCGTGATGACGTCTCCGTGATGACGTCACCGTGATGACATCTCCGTGATGACGTCACCGTGATGACGTCTCCGTGATGACGTCTCCGTGATGACGTCACCGTGATGACGTCTCCGTGATGACGTCTCCGTGATGACGTCACCGTGATGACGTCTCCGTGATGACGTCTCCGTGATGACGTCACCGTGATGACGTCTCCGTGATGACGTCACAGTGATGACGTCACCGTGATGACGTCTCCGTGATGATGTCTCCGTGATGACGTCACCGTGATGACGTCTCCGTGATGACGTCTCCGTGATGACGTCTCCGTAATGACGTCACCATGATGATGTCATTACGTCTCTGTGACGACGTCTCTGTGATTACGTCCTGACGTCTCAGTGATGACGTCATGACGTCTCTGTGATGACGTCATGACGTCTCTGTGATGTCATCTCCGTGATGACGTCTCCGTGATGACGTCTCCGTGATGACGTCACCGTGATGACATCTCTGTGATGACGTCACCGTGATGACGTCTCTGTGATGACGTGATGACGTCTCCGTGACGACGTCACCGTGATGACGTCTCTCCGTGATGTCGCCGTCTCCGCGTGGAGGTGGTGGCGGTGGCCATGGACGTGTTCTCCGACGTGGACCTCTTCTCGGAGCTCGTGGAGGTGAGCGGCCCCACGCGCCGCGTCCCCGTCTACCTGGTGCTCGACGCCATCGCCTTCCCCCTCTTCTGGGACATGTGCAGCGGCATGCGGCTCCGCGCGCGCGACCTGCAGGTACGGCGCCACCTGTAGGCACCTCCACACACCTGAATACGCGCACCTGTGTACACCCCCACAAACCTGTGTACACCTCCACACACACCTGTATACACACCTGTGTACACCTCCACACACACCTGTATACACACCTGTGTACACCTCCACACACACCTGTATACACACCTGTGTACACCTCCACACACACCTGTGTACACCTCCACACACCTGGATACACACCTGTGTACACCTCCACACACACCTGTGTACACCTCCACACACACCTGGATACACACCTGTGTACACGTCCACACACACCTGTATACGCACCTGTGTACACCCCTACACACACCTGTGAACATCCCCACACACACCTGTATGCCCCTCCACACACACACACACCTGTTTCCACACACCTGTGTACACACGTGTTTATCACAGCTGAGATGTTCCCATGGCGCCCGAGCATTCGGCCACAGCAGGAATGCTCGATTACAACGTCAGGCCCATTCATCAACTAAGAACCCCGGCTCTTTTAATGATGGCATTGTTGTTGATGACATAGTTGAAGGCGTCACTTATGTTGGCGTTGATGAGGATGTTGATGATGATGTCGTCACTGATGTTGGTGTTGATGAGGATGTTGATGATGATGTCGTCACTGATGTTGGTGTTGATGAGGATGTTGATGATGATGAAGTTGTCGTTGTTGTTGTTGATGTCGTCACCGATGTCTGTGTCGACGACGTTGACGACGATGACGTTGATGTTGTTATTCTTGTTGGTGCCATCGCTGTTGCTGGTCTTGACGGCGAACACAGAACATGCGCATCCGCATGCTCAACGGCACGTCGTACTGCTGCAAGTCGGGCGTCAAGATCCGCGGCCAGAGTCTGGAGAGGACGCTGCTGGTCGACGCTCACACCGTGCTGTCGGGATCCTACGGGTTCGTGTGCACGACCATAACACGAGCGCCACGTCAGCACAGATGCCACGCTCGCACGTACACCACGCTAACACAAACGTTACGCTATGAGACATCTCCTTTACCAGTGGCAAAATATAGCGATAGGTTTTTACCCTTTCAACTGGTACAAAAACATACACCTTTATACGAAGCATCATGTTTGCAATAACCACAACACAAGCAGTCAAAATGCAAACAAAAAGAAATAACTCTGATGATGATAATGTATGCACTGTCCTTGAAGTTGATAGGTCCATACCCGAGACAGCTTTTCTTAGAGCCTAGTCTCCATTGGTGTGCGCCTTTTGGCGTCATCTGGTCCAACACCAATGGAGACTAGGCTCTAAGAAAAGCTGTCTCGGGTGTCGACCAATCAACTTCAAGGACAGTGCATACATTATCATCATCAGAGTTGTTTCTTTTGTTTGCATTTTGACTGCTTGTGTTGTGGTTATTGCAAACATGATGCCTTGTATAAAGATGTATGTTTTTGTACCAGTTGAAAGGGTAAAAACCTATCACTACAGACGTTATGCTACGCTAGAACAGACTCCACACCAGCACAGACGCCACGCTCGCACGGATACGAGCACGCGCATCACGCTATGCTACATTGTTTTGTATTTTACCAGGTAAGGCCCACTGGGCTGTGTAGCTCTTTTTGCAGAAGTGACCTGGCCACAAATGGTGGCTCAACAAAGTGGCTTATCGTCATCATGTGGCAAATTATAGCAGGCAAATACTCTAAACGCGTGATGTTGATTCTAAATGTGGAAAAACCGGAGGACCTGGACAAAAAATCCACGCGACCATGGGGAGAACACGCAGACTCCAAATATACAACAGGCGTCGGGGTTGGAATCAAACCCACGACCTCCTGTATACTAGGCGAGGTACTTAACATCTCGCCACCACGTTGCCCATTTCAGTTTCAGTTTTATTTATTAGGTATAGCCCCGTGAGCTATTGGGCTCTTCAATCGGGTGCAACTGCAACAAACAAAAAACAAAAACATGAACAAGAAAACATCTTCAAATGACTTTGCGCAAACAGAAAGATCCAGGAAAAAACTGCAAAGTCTTCCAGAATTAAAGCATCGTACACCAACGCTGTGCAAAAATTCCAGTGGGATGCAACAACAACCACAAGACAACTTAGATTAAAGCCATCATTCTAACTCCGTACTATAACAAACAAGCATGGCCAAACCATGCGAACACACATAGCACACCAGACAACAGACCATTAACAGACTGTTGGGGCAAGTGCTGTTAGCGAGCACCTGTGAAGGCCCGAATGGTACACGAGGGGGTGGGTGGCCAGCAACTTGCCCAGCCGCCTTTGTCTCCCCAGTGGCGATGGTTACACACTGTACCAGGTATTCATATGAGGCTATGTCGACCTAGGGGAGGTCCAGAACCAGTCCAGCAAATCGTCACTGGTGTTGGTGGCCGTGAGCTGAAATCGAACTCGGGTCGCCAGATTCGTAGCACGGCGCGTTAACCAATCCCACGTTTGAGGTTCCTCCCGCACTCATTAATTGGCCGATAACACTTTAATTTAGGACAGCAGAGCTTGGACAATTGTTGGCACCTGGTCCTCGCCACCATGTGGCCACCTTCCACCCTCGTCCACGATTCCTCCTCGTGCCTCCGAGTCATCCCTCTCCCTCGTCAAGAGCGAGCGAACGCTGTGCAGCGCGTTACGAGTCGAAATATTAATTCCTGTTCGTTTTAACAGCAGCAGGTGTCCCGCCTCGGCTCACCCCGTTTCTCCCCCCCCCCGCTCGCCCAACACCCAACGGCCGCAGGTTCTCGTGGTCGTACGAGAAGCTCCACCGGAGCGTTGTGCACGTGTTCGAGGGCGAGGCAGTGCGCGTCTTCGACGACCGCTTCCGCGTCCTCTACGCGCACTCCCAGCCCGTCGACGCTGCCCGCCTGCTGCAGCCTCGGCCCGTGCCCCGTGGCGGCCCCGACCGCCTGGCGATCGCCGCCACGGCCGCCGGCGCCGGCCGCTTCGGCCCCGCGCTCGACTGGCTCGACCCGTGGCAGCGCCGACAGCAGGGCCAGCCGCCGGGCCCGCCAGGCCAGTTGGGCTTGCCGGGCCTCCCCGCCGCCGGTTCGTACGGCTCCTCCGGCGGCCTCTCCCTGGGGCCCGGCGACCGCCTGCGCTACACCCGGCAGCAGCACAACCACCAGCAGCAGCAGCACGAGGCCGACACGTGGGCCCTCGGCGCCAGTGGGTGGCCTGCGAACAACAGTAGAGCGGTGGGACACTTCGAGGGAGAGACTCTGAGCGTGCGTCACCACCACCGCCAGCAGCTGCACCAGCAGCAGCAGCAGCGCGTGTTCGCCCGGCAGGTGGTGGTGGAGGACGCGGAGGTCGGGTGGCGGCGAGGGGAGGCCCTGCGCGGAGGAGGCGGTGGCGGAGCGGCGGCCATCGCTTTCTCCCGGCAGCAGCAGCAGCAGCAGCTGCACGTGGAGTCGAATGTCACGGCGCACGCGGACGAGTCTGTGCGCCGGCGCCTGTTCCGGGCCGAGTGGGCGCAGCGGCACGAGGAGAGCCGCGTGCTGGAGGCCCGCTTCGCCCTGGGGGACTCGGGCGGCCTGCGCGACTTCATCGTGCAGCAGCAGCAGCAGCAGCAACAGCAGCTGCAGATTCACGTGCCGCTGGGCCTCGATTGGGCCCAGCAGCGAGGCCTGGGGAAGCCCTGGGAGGAGCGGCGGTGGAACGGCAACGAGCAGCAGGAGGAGGTGGTGGCGGGGGCGGCGCCGGGCCCCTTCCGGAGGACTCTCCCCCTGCACGACGAGGGTGCCGCGTTGATGCGGGACCTGCGCGGCCTACGGGGTCCGCGGGGTCTCCGGGGACCCCACGGGGAGGAGTCCGAGGACCCCGGGCGGAACCAACGGCGCCGCTCGCCGCCGTGGGACGAGCCGCGCCAGGCCCCCGAGGTTCCCCTCTCATTGGCCACCCCCGAGCCGCCGGGACGGGGCCTCCTGTCGCGCTGGAGCAGCGAGCTCAAGGTGGCCCAGGGAGGCGCCGCCGAGGGGGCGGGACAGCGGCTGCCCGGCGACGGCATGGCCGACTCGAGCTTCAGGAGACCCGGCAGGAAGCCGCACGAGGTGGCGGCGCCGCTGCCCGGCGTCGGCGTCGGGCGTGAGAAGGACGTCCCGGGCCGGGAGGCGACCCCGGCCCTCCCCGGACTTCCCGAGAAGGGTTCGCAGCCAGCGAGCACGGCCCTGCTGAGCCGCGGCAAGATGAGCCCCCTGCTGCAGCAGAACTCGCGCCTCCGCTCGTCGCTCATCTACACCAACGCGCCGGCGCCGCGAGGGCTCGCCGCTGCGGCCGACGGGGATGCCGCAGACCCCGCGGGCGTCGGAGCGACGAAGGGGGTCGCCGTCGGGGAGGCGGAGAGAGCTGGCGCGAAGCAGGAGGAGGCAAAGGTCGGCGGCGTTGGGGAACCGAGGATCAGGGGTGTCGGCGAGCCGGGCGGTGAAGCGAGGAGAGGGGCCATCGAGGAATTCAGGAGGGGTGGCGTCGGCGAGATGCCGGCGCCGCTACGGCAGACGAGCAGCAGGGAGCCCGGGAGAGCGGTGGGCGGCCCAGACGACACTCGAGCCGCGGGGTTGGAGCAGAGCGGCCGTGGCCTTGCGCGGGCCGACCCCCCGCCTCCTCTTTCTTCTCCTCGGGCTCTCGGCCTTGTCCTCCCGGCCCTGGAGGTCGCCAAGGCTCGGGCCCTGCAGCGCGACCCCTCGCCCCGTGACCCCTTGCCACGTGACCCCTCACCCCGCGACCCCTTGCCCCGTGACCCCTTGCCCCGTGACCCCTTGCCCCGTGACCCCTTGCCCCGCGACCCCTTGCCCCGCGACCCCCCGGCCGTCGTGGAGGCCGTGCGCCCCAAGGCAGCCCCCACGGGCTCCGTGTTCTACCGCTCGCTCTACCTTAAGCCGGGGGGCACCACGGAGGCCGCGCAGCCCCAGCAGCTGGAGGTACCAGCTCGCTCCCCGATCAGGGAACCCACGTCCAAGCTGCTGGCTCCGTCTCCTTCGCCGCCGTGTCCCATCTCGCCAACCAGCCCGGCGGTCACGGGCAGCGCCGGCACGGAGCTCAGAACCGGGAGCGGCACCAGCGGTGCCGGTGGCATTGGCGGTGGCGGTGGCGGCGGTGCAGGTACCAACGTTGCTACTGTGAGTGGAGGTCGGAGCGGCGCTGCTACCGGTGCCGCTGGTACCACCACCACCACCAGCAGCAGTCCGCTGTCCCCGCCGCCAGCGGGCCCGATTGGCGCGCCATCCAACGGGAATGTGGCGCAAAACTCTGGCCAGCTGGTGCGCAAGCTGGAGGACATGCGCAAGGAAGGGCGCGCGTTCAGCTGCTACGAGGCCCTGCTGCGGCCGGGCACGAACGATCAGCAGCAGGCGGAGCAGAAGAGGCAGGAGGAGGAGCGGAAGAGGCAGGAGGAGGAACGGAAGAAGAAGGAGGAGGAGGAGCAGAAGAAGCAGGAGGAACGGGAACAGAAAGAGAAGCAGGAGCAGGAACAGAAACAGCAGAGGGAGTCGGCGGTGGCCGCTTCTGATGCCGGGGGCGCCGCTCCGGTGCGCCGTGGGAGCGACGGCCCATACCAGCGCGGCCCCTCCTCTCTGCGGCCACTGGGCAACTTGACAGCGCGGGCGCCCGTGGGCAACTCGTACAACCCCACTTATTACACGTGGCGGCGTTGGTGAGACGCTGGCGGCGATGGGCGCGGAGGGGAGAGCGGCGCGGGGACGTGGGGGGGACACGGTGGCAGCGGGCGAGAGAACACCACGCGGCCCCCCACAGCGGCCCCCCACAGCAGCTCCGATCAGCGCGGTTGGCCACGTGCGGCGCGAAAGAAGTTCAACATACAGTACAACATGCGTGCGTGCCATGTTGGCAGCGACGGAGCGAACAGGAGCAGTGACGCCAGTGTCGTGTTACCAGTCTCCCCCCCCCCCCCCAATGCTATTGTATCGGACCTGCCCTTCACGCACTGTTGATTAAATGACAATATTTGGGTATGCTGTTGATGTAGGAAGATCGTGGACATCGCTTGACGTCATCCGCGTGAGCCGGGGGTCATTGGCGAGCTTGGCTTCGGCGCACACGGTCAGGGTGGACAAAGAAGGGCTCCATCACTTCCCAAAGATTTCCCGGACCGAGGAATTGCACGCACAGGAAGAAGCGGGAGAGAGGGAGGGCCAGCTCAGTAGCGTTCCGACGTCTCTGGACCTACAGACCACTCACTGTCAGCCCTCGCCACCGCGCACCGATAACGACTGTAGATCAGAATGTTTATTTATACTGGAGGATATTAAAAAAATATCCAAATAAAACCATTTGTATCTTCCCAGGTAAGGCCCACTCAGCTATGAGCTTCTTTTTCAGAAGCGACCTGGCCACAAATGATAGCTCAACGAAGTGGCTTATCGTGTGGAAATTGACAGCAGCAAAATTATCGAAATAATCTAAACGCGCGATGTTGATTCTAAATGTGGAGGGAAAAACCGGAGGACCCGGATAAAAATCCACGCGACCACGGGGAGAACATGAGATCGAACCCACGACCTCCTGTATACTGGACAAGGTAGTTAACATCTCCTAACCACCGTGATGATGATGAGAAAGAGAAACACGCAAACTCCAAATATACAGCAGCAGGCGTCAGGGTCGGGATCGAACCCACGACCTCCTGTAGACCAGGCGAGGTAGTTAACATCTCCTAGCCACCGTAATGATGATGATGATGAGAAAGAGAAACACGCAAACTCCAAATATACAGCAGCAGGCGTCAGGGTCGGGATCGAATCCACGGCCTCCTGCGTACTGGGCAAGGTAGTTAACATCTCCTAGCCACTGTGGCGCCCCACACCACACCAGGTGCTCATTTGAGGCTTAGTTGACCTAATCACAATTCAGAAAGGCAACTTCGTTCACATCAACTCTCTATATATTAGTTTCCCGTGCGCACGCGGCGATTATTTTGTATTCACGTCCGCCAGCCTTCTCGCGTTCGACCGGGCCGATTCTTCTCCTTAAGGTTGGGAGGAGTGGTGGCACAGTGGTTAGCGCGATGCTATGCCAACCCGGTCACCTGAGCAACCTGAGTTCGATCCCTGCCCATGGCTACCATCAACGGCGATGTCAGAACCGGACCTACCCGCTACCCCACACCTCGCCCCCCCCCCCCACCCCTTCACCAACGGCGACTGACCAGCGTGGTGAAGTATGGTCAAACGCCGCCCCATGACTGACACGGGCAGGGAAGGTCATCATCCAGCAGTGGATTATCAAAGCGCTGTCAATAATAATTATTGTTGTTGCATTAAGAGCAAGTTTTTTTCTGCATCACAGACTACGCGAGTCAAATGCGTTTTAACGACCCGGCATTCTAACTCAACGTTGCCCAACGTTGGCGCGTGACGTCGTGTTATTTTGCTATAGGCGACTGTAAAATAGTGAACGCGTGTTCGGTCACACGGCTGATGGCAACAAGGAGTGATTGCTGTTGTTATTTGGTTGTTGTTGTTGTTGTGGCTATAGCCGGTGGTGGCAGTGGTACTGGCTCATTAGTGAGACGACGGGAGATGCAGACAGATGAGAGATGACAGAGATGTAGATGAGAGATGCGTGCAGCGAGAGGAGAGACACACGAGAGATGATGGAGTCGAGACGAGAGAGATGTCACCAGCTGATACTGACACAGACTCGAGTGGGACGAGAGAGGTCACGTGCGTGTTGCGTCGATTAACGCGTTATGTTTAATTGTTGCGATTTTAATTGGACATCACATTTGGATCACCCGCTGTCGTTTCCATGACTCGGGGACATCTTGTTTGCGTCCCTAAGCATTTTAGTCCGTGGGGCCAGAGTAGCAACAACGTAGCAGCAACTAAACTCAACTATTGTTTTTATTGTACCAGGTGAGGCCCCCCCCAGGTAAGGCGCGGCTCATTATCACGTGGACGTTTAGACAAGCAGCCAAATACTCGAAACGCGTCTCGATTCTAAATGTGGAGGGGGAAACCGGAGGACCCGGATAAAAAAATCCACACGACTTTGGGGAGAGAATCCACGCAAACTACAAACATACAGCAGCAGGCGTCCGGGTCGGGTTGGAACCCACGACCTCCTGTATACCAGACGAGGTAGTTAACATCTCCTCGCCATCGTGATGATGATGAGAGAGAGACACGCAAACTACAAACATACAGCAGCAGGCGTCCGGGTCGGGTTGGAACCCACGACCTCCTGTATACCAGGCGAGGTAGTTAACATCTCCTAGCCACCGTGATGATGATGAGAGAGAGACACGCAAACTCCAAATATGCAGCAGCAGGCGTCCGGGTCGGGTTGGAATCCACGACCTCCTGTATACCAGACGAGGCAGTTAACATCTCCTCGCCACCGTGATGATGATGATGATGAGAGAGAGACACGCAAACTCCAAATATGCAGCAGCAGGCGTCCGGGTCGGGTTGGAATCCACGACCTCCTGTATACCAGACGAGGCAGTTAACATCTCCTCGCCACCGTGATGATGATGATGATGAGAGAGAGACACGCAAACTCCAAATATGCAGCAGCAGGCGTCCGGGTCGGGTTGGAATCCACGACCTCCTGTATACCAGACGAGGCAGTTAACATCTCCTCGCCACCGTGATGATGATGATGATGAGAGAGAGACACGCAAACTCCAAATATGCAGCAGCAGGCGTCCGGGTCGGGTTGGAACCCACGACCTCCTGTATACCAGGCGAGGTAGTTAACATCTCCTAGCCACCGTGATGATGATGAGAGAGAGACACGCAAACTCCAAATATGCAGCAGCAGGCGTCCGGGTCGGGTTGGAACCCACGACCTCCTGTATACCAGACGAGGCAGTTAACATCTCCTCGCCACCGTGATGATGATGAGAGAGAGACACACAAACTCCAAATATGCAGCAGCAGGCGTCCGGGTCGGGTTGGAACCCACGACCTCCTGTATACCAGGCGATGTAGTTAACATCCCTCTGCACGGCCAATGCTAATGAATGCACAGAACCTGATGGCACAACTCATTTCAAATGATTATCGCATAACTCGGTGGTATTGGCCAAAGAGAGAGAGAGAGAGATCGATGCCAGGCCACGCAACTGCATGATCACATCCCAGCGTGGCCTTTGGCCGGGGGTGGGAGGGTGATTGCATCATATTTTCGCGGCATTGATTTCAGGACAAGCAAAAACGCCGTGCAGACCAGCCGGTTTCGACGCGCCAGTGTCTCATCGGCAGACGGTCAAACAAGGAGGGCTTCTAAATTTCGATGTAAAGCTTTCGTGACTGCAGGGATTCATCTTCTTGGTTCTTTCGGTAAAGTCACGTAGAAGGGAAGAATGAGGACGGCTGCTTGCGTTGTGGCCGAAACGTCGTGAGAATTATTATTTTACTATGTTTTATTTTTATTATTTTATTATTTCCCTTCTACGTGACTTTACCGAAAGAATCAAGAAGAAGGAGGGGCTTCGCTTTGCATGTTTTGACTCGGTGCTGCCCCCTGAAATGATTCGCTATCCCACAAGGTCGTGGGCCAGGCTGATGGTTGAAGTGTGAGAAATGCCCCGGTTATGTTTCTAATGGTGGAAGGGAAGAGAGGGGGGTGTGAAGGTAGACAAGCGATGGCCGTGTGTTTATGTCCCAGGGCCCTACTGTCACATAGGCCGCAGTAACCACTGTGCCTAGGTCCTACGGAAACTAAAAAGGGACCTGCGAAACGAAAAATTGCCCCATGTGTGTGTTTTTAAGTTGTTTATATGATAAAAAAAATGCAACCCAAGATATTTTCTTGAATAAATATATTTTTATATAGCAAGGATAGTGCCACAGTGTATATACAAAGACGCAGAGTCATGTAAAAAAATGTTCATAAGGTGCAAAATTAGAAAACAACACCGCCACTCGTTTAAGGTTGAGCCGACCTAGGGGGAGGGCCTTTGACCGGTTTAGAACAATTGTTGCTGTGAGCGAGCACCTATGCCCCAAGGTCAAAATACCATGCACGTGTGCTCGCTAACAGCCACACACAAAAAGACAAAGATCCCCCGTATAGCCTTAACAGACTGTAGGGGCAAGTGCTGTTAGCGAGCACCTATCAAGGTCGGAACGGTACACGAGGAGGTGGGTGGCCAGCACCACGCCCGACCGCCTTTGTCTCCCCAGTGGTGATGTTTATACGCACATTTCTGGCCGACTCGACCTAGGGGAGGCCCAGGACCGGTTTAGATAATCGTCACTGGGTGTTGGCCGTGAGCAGGAATCGAACCCGGGTCGCCAGGTTCATAGCGCAGCGTAGTGCTAACCACTACACCACCGCTCCCCACACACACTCTCACACACACTGACACTCACATGCTCTCACAAACACACTACATACACGGAACAAACGAGACGGAACAAACGGAATGGAACTAACGAGAGGAACAGTAAGGAGATGGAACAAACGAGACGGAACAACTTCCACGGATCGAAACACCTCGGGACATAACTCACCAGACACGAGACGGCGACGAACGCGACAAAAACGAACGTCTTCATGAAGAAGGGGCATTCCCCGAAACGTCGCCTATTATAAACAACGAGTCCTCGTTTCATGCGGTAGATGCGTTCCTGAAAAGCGCCGCGTTCAGTGAAAACAATAACCCTCCAAATGACGTAAAGTTTGGCGAGATTCCGTGAACGCACACGCAGTGAGATGGCGCGGTGAACTTTTTCCAAAAAACACAGGATGAGATGGTACTATCCTTTGTGCAAGCACTTCCAAGAGTTCATGAACAGTGAGCCTGGTGAAATTTGGGGAGCGCATCGTCAGTAGTGAACCTTTGGTTCCTAGGGTGTTTCGGCCTTTCACACTATACACGCTCCCCAAAGGCGGCCAGCGACAGGGTGATCAATCCTACACTTGCGTCCCATTCCCAATTAGTCATAGGAGTTGCCTTGTTGGGACTATGCATGGCAGGGGCGTCCTCCTCCCTGAGTCAAGCATTGTTGACTGCATACCTCCTGGCCCTCTCACTTTGGGGCCCAGCTGGGGTCTTTCCTCTTCATTCAGAGCCACTGACTGCTGCCTTCTGCCGCCTCCGATACAGCTCTGATTGCCGAACGCTGGCTCTGGCCCTTAATTCCCAGGTCTCTAAGCAGTCTGGTTGTAGATGTTGCCACAAAACCTCTGCAGCCCACCTCCACTGGTCGGACTTTTGTGTTCCAGCCATGATGCCGTGCTTCGGCAGCTAGATCGGCATAGCGCAGATGTTTTCGCTCATAAGCCTCATCTACTGAGTCCTCCCAGGATACTGTGAGCTCAATGATGAAGACCTTCTTGAGCGAACGGGACCAGAGCACCATGTCAGGTCTTAGGGTGGTGGTTGCGATCTCCGGAGGAAACACAAGTTGCCGGCCAATGTCAGCTAGCATTTTCCAGTCGCGGGCCAAGCGCAGCTGGTCTCGCTCTAATGGTGTAGAGCCGCTCTTCGGTGTTTTAGCCCCTTCGCGGGCAAAGGTCGTCCGTAAGGAATGTGATGCTGCTGGGGGTGGTAGGGAGTTGGTGGCAGCTCGCTTGTCCTCCAGGGCGGACGAAAGGTTTTTAAGGACTTGGTTGTGACGCCAAGTGTAGCGTCCTTGGGTGAGGCTTGTTTTACACCCTGTGAGAATGTGCCTGAGGTTGGCTGGCATGGAACAGAGGGCACAGTCCGGATCTTCACCATACCATTGGTGAAGATTAACTGGTGTTGGAAGGACGTCATATGTTGCTCTGATGGAAAAGCTCAACCGCCTCGTTTCCATGGCCCACAGATCCTTCCAGCTGATCTTCCTCTTCTCCACACTGTCCCATCGAGTCCACTGTCCCTGTTTGGCAAGAGAGACTGCCTTGGCCCACCTTGCAGCCTCCTCCTGATGGCGTACTTCCTGCACTACCATCTTCCGCCGCTCTGGTGCAGTGGCCTTACTCCAAGCAGCACGGCTAGTTAGCCCAAGGCCTCCTCTCCCTTGCTGAACATGACCCACAATGTCAGCATGTCTGAGGGCTGCTGTTGCCTCCTGGACTGCTTTCCCTGGCCTCCATTTGCGCCCAGTTGCCAAGGTCGGCGCGTTGTTGCTCACCACTGGGTCTCGAGATTCATTCAGTGTCATCTGGAGCCTGGTTTTTGCACACTTGAATTCCTCTGTTAGACTGGTGAGGGGCAGCTTGAGGACACCATCTCCATAGAGGCCTATGGTGGTAAGGCATCGTGGAACTCCGAGCCACTTCTTTAAGTAGCTCGTGACTCCTCTTTCCATCTTCTCCACTGTTGAGATTGGAACCTCATACACTGCTAGGGGCCACAACACCCGAGGTAGGAGACCAAACTGCAGACACCAGGCCTTTAACTTTCCAGGTAGCTGGGTGTTGTCGATGGACTGTAGGCTACTACTGATGTCTTTGCGCAGCTGTTGCACCTGGTCTTTGTCCTTCAGGCTTGCATCATACCACCTTCCAAGGCTTTTTACCGGCTGCTCAGACACTGTTGGGATTTGGTCATCTCCGATGAAGAATTTCAGGTCACAGAGTACTCCCTTCACAATCGAGATGCTGCGTGACTTGGATGGTTTAATCTTCATACGGGCCCAGCTGATGTTCTCCTCGAGTTTTCTGAGCAGTCTCCTGGTGCATGGGACAGTGGTGGTCAATGTTGTAATGTCGTCCATGTAGACTCTGAGTGGAGGAATAACCGAGAGTATGCCGCCGCGTTACTGGATCATTTCGCGTTCGTGTATTGCACCACTCAGCCGCGCAACTCAAGAGAGTAGTTCGACGTAGACTGCTCTGAAACCGCGTTATAACGGAGCGCGTTATAACATAATGTCGTCTTGGTTCTTTCGGTAAAGTCACGTAGAAGGGAAATAATAAAATAATAAAAATAAAACATAATAAAATACAATTCTCACGACGTTTCAGCCACAACGCAAGCAGCCGTCATCAGGTGAAGACCAGGTCTGTCGGGGAGACAGCGTCTGAATGAAACACCACCACGCTTGGAGCGTATATTTAAGCTGGGTTCATTCAGACGCTGTCTCCCCGACAGACCTGGTCTTCACCTGATGACGGCTGCTTGCGTTGTGGCCGAAACGTCGTGAGAATTGTATTTTATTATGTTTTATTTTTATTTTTTTATTATTTCCCTTCTACGTGACTTTACCGAAAGAACCAAGAAGATGAATCCCTGCAGTCACGAAAGAAGCTTTAAATCGAAATTTAACATTATAATGTTGCGCGCGTTCCGCTCCTTGCGAAAAGCGTTCTCCGGTGGAGGAGACGCGTTGCAGCGAAAACGCGTTTCTGCGCGAACATTTCCAGCGCGTTAAGCGAGGACTTGCCGTGTAAATTATAACAGGGCGATTTGAAGCTTTCGTTACTGCGGGAATCCATACTCTTTGGTTCTTTCGGTAAAGTCTACCTACGTGACTTTTTTTTTGAAGGGTGCTTCAAAAAGAATGTGAACACTTCCGAGAATTTGCAACAAAACCACGAGAAATGTCCCTCCGGGCTCTGGAAACCGCCTGAAGAAGAGTCTAGGCACGCGTTGACGATGATGGCGAACAAGCGAGACACTCTGTGACTTTTTGAAGCTGTTAACATCACATTTTGTTCTCATGTTACATCGTATTATCCGTTCTTTTCCCATTAAAAACGATGACATTTTTTTTGAAGCACCTTGTCTATGAATGTGTTTCTTTTCTCCCTTTGAAGGCCACTTACGGCGCTGTTGACAAATGCTGTGTGTCTACTCAAGTCTGCTGTTGTTGTCGTTGTTGTAACAAATTCCTGCGGAGGGAGCTGGTAGGAACGTTGGGTTGCTCGGTCAATGGCCAGGGTCAACAGCGGCGTGGTGTATTCCGCAAATATGTCCGACTGTGAGGGCGGGTACAAGCCTGCGTGAGTAGGTTAAACGTTGAGTTTTATAAGGGCACCACGGGGTGACCAGCCCCTCCCCACCCAGCCCCACCCCTCCCACCTCCCACCCAGCCCCACCCACCCACCTCACACAGCCCCTCCCCACCCAGCCCCTCCCCACCCTCCCCACCCTGCCCCTCCCCACCTCCCCTCCCCACCCAACCCCTCCCTCCCCACCCAGCCCCTCCCTGCACGACGGACGGACGGACACAATAATCCCCTGTGGGCTGGTGGAACCAGGAGGTTCCTACCAGTATAAGAGGCGTCGTGTCCGCTCGGGTCTCGGCGTGAACCACCACCACCTCATCGTCCTCCTCCACCCCCACGCCTCTTCTCCTCGACGGCGACTGTTCACTTATCGATCCGCCACCATCCCTCGTCAATATCCCTGCTGAGCCGGTCCGTGTAGTCACAGCAGCGATGCAGCAGCAGCGATCATTACACGCGTTCTCTGGGGGGCATGAACCCAACTTTGGCTGTTGTTGACTTTTCTTTGCACGTACCTCGTGTGTGTTGTGTGTTGTTATTTGTGTGTTGTTATCTGTGTTGTTATCTGTGTTGTTATCTGTGTTGTTATCCGCTTGTCGTTATCCGCGTGTTGTTGTCTGTGTTGTTATCTGTGTTGTTATCCGCGTGTTGTTATCTGTGTGTTGTTATCTGACAGTGCGTAATACTGTGGGCTGGTTACACCAGCCCACAGGGGATTATTGTGTCTGTCGTGCTGGGAGGGGCTGGGTGGGGAGGGGCTGGGTGGAGAAAGTGGGGAGAGGCTGGGTGGGGAGGGTGGGGCTGGGTGGGGAGGGGAGGGTGGGGAGGGGCTGGGTGGGGAGGGGAGGGTGGGGCTGGGTGGGGGGTGGGGCTGGGTGGGGAGGGGCTGGTCACTCCGTGGTGCCCTTATAAAACACAACGTTTAACCTACTCACGCCGGCTTGTGCCCGCCCTCACAGTCGGGGATATTTGCGGAATACACCACGCCGCCGTTGACCCTGGCCATTGACCGAGCAACCCAACGTTCCTACCAGCTCCCTCCGCAGCAGGAATGTGTTCGTCTGCATGGGCTCGGGGTACGGGTGGGGCATCTGTGACTTCGCGTCGTCCTCGGGTTGCTTTGAGAATTTCTCGTGGGCTCGGAGCCGAGATGCCGACTTCATGCCTCATTTAGCAAAATCTCAGACGCCCCCCCACTTCCCTCACCCCACCCCCACCACTGTTTCCACGAATTTTGCCAATTTTCTCTCAAATAGCTCCACCAGTCCCCTGGGAATGCCGCTGCGCTGTTCCTGTAAAAGGACCGACTGCTGTTGCTGATGCTGATGATGATGTTGATGGATGACAATGATGATGGCTATGGTGCTGCTGATGATGATGGTAGTGGTGGTGCTGATGGATGGCAATGATGATGGCTGTGATGCTGCTACTGCTGCTGATGGATGACAATGAAGATGGCTGTGGTGCTGCTGATGATGATGAATGGTAATGATGATGATTATGTTGCTGCTGCTGATGGGTGACAATGATGATCATCATGGCAATGCTGCTGATGCTGATGGTGGTGGTGGTGGTGCTGATGGATGACAATGATGATGGCTGTGGTGCTGCTGATGATGATGAATGGTAATGATGATGATTATGTTGCTGCTGCTGATGGGTGACAATGATGATCATCATGGCTATGCTACTGCTGATGCTGCTGATGGTGGTGGTGGTGCTGATGGATGGCAATGATGATGGCTGTTGTGGTGGTGCTGCTGCTGATGGATGACAATGATGATGGCTGTGGTGCTGCTGATGATGATGAATGGTAATGATGATTATGTTGCTGCTGCTGATGGGTGACAATGATGATCATCATGGCAATGCTGCTGATGCTGCTGATGGTGGTGCTGATGGATGGCACTGATGATGGTTGTGGTGCTGCTACTGCTGCTGATGGATGACAATGAAGATGGCTATGATGCTGCTGCTGATGATGGATGGTAATGATGATGATATTGTTGTTTTCTCCGCACGAGCGTGCGAGTTGGTGGAAGCAGCTTCGGAGCGATTCCTTCATCCAGCAGTGGGATGATCACGGCGAATGATGGCGATGGTGTCAATGTCAGTGCTGTCAGATGATGTTCTCAAGATTGCGTCATTCACGTGCCCAGCTTCGTTCGTTCTCATGTCATTCTCGCCACTAGTTTGCATATCGTTAGTCACTCATTTTGGTGTAATTCACTCAGTCTTGTGTCAGCATTCACTTATTCTCACATCATTAATTCCCCGCGTCATTATTCAGTCATTCTGGTGTCATCATTCACTCATTATCATGTCATCGTTCACTCGTTCGCGTGTCGTTCTCTCTGCACTGCGTCTCGTGACCCACACAGCGATGACCTCGACACAACGAGCCCAGCGACACAACACGACAACGCATTCGGAATCAGCAACCACACACAACACCACAACCACCCCACACACTACAACCACCCCACACACCACCCCACACACCACCCCCACACACCACGCACCACCCCACGAACCACCCCACACACCACCCCACACACCACCCCACGCACCACCCCACGCACCACCCCACGCACCACCCCAGGCACCAGACACCACCCCACACACCACCCCACACACCACCCCACACACCACCCCACACACCACACACCACCCCACACACCACACACCACCCCACGCACCACCCCACGCACCACCCCACGCACCACCCCACGCACCACCCCACGCACCACCCCACACACGACCCCACGCACCACCCCACGCACCACCCCACGCACCACCCCACGCACCACCCCACGCACCACCCCACGCACCACGCACCACCCCACGCACCACACACCACCCCACACACCACCCCACACACCACCCCACGCACCACACACCACCCCACGCACCACCCCACGCACCACCCCACGCACCACCCCACGCCCCACCCCACGCACCACCCCACGCACCACCCCACGCACCACACACCACCCCACACACCACCCCACGCACCACCCCACGCACCACCCCACGCACCACCCCACGCACCACACACCACCCCACACACCACCCCACCCACCACCCCACGCACCACCCCACGCACCACACACCACCCCACACCCCACCCCACGCACCACCCCACGCACCACCCCACGCACCACACACCACCCCACACACCACCCCACGCACCACCCCACGCACCACACACCACCCCACGCACCACCCCACGCACCACCCCACGCACCACCCCACGCACCACCCACGCACCACCCCACGCACCACCTCACGCACCACACACCACCCCAAACACCACCCCACACACCACCCCACGCACCACCCCACGCACCACCCCACGCACCACACACCACCCCCCACACACCACCCCACGCACCACCCCACGAACCACCCCACGCACCACACACCACCCCACACACCACCCCACGCACCACCCCACGCACCACCCCACGCACCACCCCACGCACCACACACCACCCCACGCACCACCCCACGCACCACCCCACGCACCACCCCACGCACCACCCCACGCACCACCCCACGGACCACCTCACGCACCACACACCACCCCAAACACCACCCCACACACCACCCCACGCACCACCCCACGCACCACCCCACGCACCACACACCACCCCACACACCACCCCACGAACCACCCCACGAACCACCCCACGCACCACACACCACCCCACACACCACCCCACACACCACCCCACGCACCACCCCACGCACCACCCCACGCACCACACACCACCCCACACACCACCCCACGCACCACCCCACGCACCACCCCACGCACCACCCCACGCACCACCCCACGCACCACCCCACGCACCACCCCACGCACCACACACCACCCCACGCACCACCCCACGCACCACCCCACGCACCACCCCACGCACCACCCCACGCACCACACACCACCCCACA